TCTGAGCTGGAGTTGATGAAAATATCTTGGAATTAGACAGTAGTTGTGGCTGCACAGCATTGTGAATATACTAAAAATTACTGAAATGTATACGTTTAAAATGTTTGAAATAGTGAATTTTATGTTATATGAATTTTATCACACTAAAAAACAAAACCAGGAAATCAACATACAACAAATAGCACAGAACCTGTGAAGAAAAATAATTTGTCCAGTCTTGCTCAATTAATGCTGTGTAAGTAAGCCAAGAAATTATTTAAATTAGACATAAACAAAAAGGACAAACACTATCAACAGAATTTATAGCAGTAAATACTCATATAGTGAGAATAGCCTATATTTGAATTAAAATTTAGAGGAAACCAAGAATACACAAGAAACATGAGACAGTATATTTTGAAATCTTGGAATCAGAGAATCTAAGGATCTTAGGTAAAAGCTATTAAGACTAGTTCAGGAAGTGGCTTAGGGCCCCTGGCTATCGATAAAACACTGTTTCTCAATCAGACCTTCCCAAGGACTTGAAAAATGTACATTCCTGTCAGTACAAGAGTATCAGAATCTCTGGGGATGTGGTCAGAAGCTAAGTTTCCCACAAGAGGATTTCCATGCACCTTTAGATTAAAAGACTACCTAGGAGTTCTAGAACTCAACAAATTTCACTCAGAAATTTCACTCCTAGATATGTACCTATTTTCTTTCATTCACAACATCTTATACAGACTATTTTAGGTCAAAATGATTATCAGGTGCATACTTAAAAGGTTTCAAAGTTTTTAAAAGGCAGCATCCTGACTGCTTAGAAATTGGACTTGGACTTTCTTTGCCTTGGTTCGGAGGTGAAGGTAGGAAGTGGTGAGGGGAGCTGTGAGCTGGTTGAAATCCTTTCTCCTTCCCTCCCCCAAAAGTTAATATTGTTTAACTCCATCCCAGAACTGGCTCTAGTCAGAAAAAAGAAACCCATCACTTTTCATGATTAAAAATGGTTGAACACCATGTTTGCAAGAAGAATTAGAACCCTCATTTGTGAATTAGAAAAAAGAGTCCTAATCACACGATTTACAGCAGTGATTAAAACAGATAATTGATTCAAAACACTTTGGTAAACGCTAATGGAGAGAAAGACAGCAAGTGAGTGTGGGGGGAGGGGAATGTAGTATCAATTGACTAAATTGGTCAGAAAAGAACATAAAAAGAATTGTTGCACATGCACAGTGAAATAGTAAAGGTTGAGAACAAGGACTCCGGTGCCAGAGTGCCTGGGTTCAAATTAGAGCAGGACTGCCACTGATTGGGTGACCTTGACTGTAACTTCTCAGTGCCCCAGTGCTCCCATCTCTATGATGGGATAGTAAGAATACCTACCTCATAAGGATACTGTAGCTCTAAATGAGTTAATAATTGTGATATAAAGTGCTGGCAATAATACCTGGTTCACTGAATGTTTGCAATAGTTAAAAGCAAAAGTCTTTTTGTAAATCAAGATGACCTGAAAAAGTTGCATTGTCTAAACACATTTTATGAGGCTCAAAGAAGTTATTATAAAATAAATTGTAACAGTGAGAATGGAAACATTTTAAAGTCTAAACATATTGATTGAAAAGACATATTCCCAATATCCTTTTTATTTGCCTAAATTCTTTGATTGCCCTCTTTTATTTTTACCTGAAAAGCAGGTTGGAGGAATTATCGATAATAAAGGGAATAACAGTCGCAAACTCCTCCTGCATCTCTAAGTTCCTACAATTGTAGACCTCAACTATTTATCACTGATAACCCTCAATAGAACACCCACAATATATACCTACTACAGTTATTTACAATAGCATACTTCAATTATTGAAAAAATCACAAAGAAATGCCAAATTAAAAAAAGAAATACTATGTTGTTTACCTATATATCTGCTAAATACTAGGTTTCAAAAAAGGGTTGACTCAATTCCTTTTAATATCCTTTGAAAAAAAGGAGTCTGAAATAATACAAACATTTACTAAAGACTGTCTTTCTCAGACCTATGGAAATTAGGTCTTTACTTCAGCAACCACGTTTGCCAACGAGAAGGTGGCTTTTTACTGCCAGAAAAGGAAACCTAATGGTTATTTAATCTAAGATTTGGCAAAAACTATTTTCCTTTAGATAAGCTTTCTAACCTTAGATTAATGTTTTTTATTAAAAAAGTCATCTCATATTACATTTCAGAAATCAGATATACACTATAATAAAACAATTAATTGATTCCTCTCTTATTTTAGGATCTCTAGTACTGAGTTAGTCTTCTAATTTTATAGTCCAAAGGCATATTCCAGGAAATCATGACTAGCATTAACGATATTTTCAGAATTGACCAAATTATCAAATTTATAGCATATGGAATGATAATCAATCAAAAGTACTCAATAATTATAGCTCCATATTTCTTAAAATTCTAATGCTATTTTGGCTTAGAAAACTTTAACTTGTATGACACTATTAAAGTTTACATTAAGTGATTCAAATAACGTATTTAAAAAAATTCTTTTAACCTATTGAACCAAATACACAGTAACACATTATGAAGCACTGACTGATAATTTTTGCTAGCAACAGTTCAGAAGAAGAGTCAGATACTTTGCAGCCCACGGGATGTGTATGATACTGTTCCCTTTACCTGAGTCAGGCTCTTTGTTCTTCACACTAGTATTACAATAATTGTTACCACAGAAGGGGCAATCATTTAATTTCTATTTTCTCTTTAAATTTATGTTCTGTCACTTTATACTTGTAGTTCAAGATTTCACTGTAATAGGCATAGTTATGATCCTTGGAAAATTATTCGTTTTAATATTTATTGAGTGCTTGTTATATTCAAGGGATTATGTTAAGCTTTTTAAAAATAATTTTTTTAAGTTGAGCAATGTTAGGAACTGACATCTATTTATATAAAATTTTCCATTTAGAAGTTGCCATTTTAATTTAAATACCAAAGATGATAACATATCATAAAAAGGTCACACTGGAAAAAGGAAAATGCAACAAATTTTACAAAAGTGTTTGCTATTTGATGAAAGCTGATATAAAGAGTTTAAAGTCATTATTGTTGGATTTATTATTTTTAATGGTATTAGAAGTGACTGCTCAAAATATCTTTATTTTCTTGTTTCAACAAATAATGGCAATATATTTTGGTATATGAGAACCTAGTGTACAAGCTTCAAATTCGATTAAATATATCAAGTTTACACAAAGCCAAGTGTATGAAAGGGGATCTTTTAAAAAAAACTTTATTTGAGAAAGGAAGAGACTTATAACAGAAGGCAAAAAGGGAAACATACAAACAGTATATTTACAACACAAAACAAGAGATCACCTTCAAGGGTGTAAATTATAATAAATACAGTAGATTTTAAAAGAGACATTTATCAATTGGTTCTAAGATTATTTAAGTCCAGCTTTCCTTTTCACTGGTTCCAGGTAGTTTCTTGATTAAATTCAAAGACTATCAAATTCAAACAATTAACGTCCACCAACTGTACTGATGAAGTTCTCTCAAATGACATTATAAAAAATAGGTTTTTTTTGTTTGTGATTACATATCTTTGAAGTAATATTATACAAAAGTCTGCTCAGCCACATGTTCCTCCCCAAATAAAATGTATTTTAAAAGATGCACTATCCCTTTTTGATGAGATTGAAAAAAGACTTTGAGGAAAATGAATATTTATGAGATGGAAAAAATATACCATCTTATCTTAGGCATGCCATATTTTTAATGCAAAACAACTGACAAGAAGTCATTTTAATCTGAAGGAATATACTAACCAAAATATGGTGGTGATAGGGAGTATTGCCTATTACAGGTATTTGTCAAATTATCAGAAGGACTTTCATTATAAGGAAAAGTTTTAAACTTTCTAACTTCTAGTTATGTTAATTTAATTTGAATGGAGACTTTTTAAAAAAGGATAATGTATCTTTAGCAGTAACATTTTTATAAAGAAATATTTTTAAATGTCACAGCAAAATGTAAACAACACGTGCCAATAACATACAGTTGAACAATGTCTACATTTGGCAAAACTGCTATATCTCCTTTGAAACAGGATACTACACCTTAAAATACCTTGGATTTAGAAATATAAATATTTTAATAGAAAAAACCTCACAAAGATTCTAGGTCAATTTGGATTATCCATATTAAAGGGATCTTAATACAACGAACCTTTAACTAGCTTAACAAAAGTAAACCTATAAAACAAGGTAAACATATCAAAAGGGAATATGAAGGAAATGTTCCAGTGAAAAGCTTCCGTAACAATTTCCCTACTTGTGGTGTTATTTTCTTAGACAATAAATCAATTCATAGAGTGCCCTTTAAAAACAGAAAGAGTAAAACACTATGCTCAGATTTTTTTTTCCTACATTCCTCAGTACATGAATCACTTGGACTTCCTGTTTCCACAAGGCATTTCCTGTTCAGCCTCACAGAATCACTTTTCTGTAGAACAGCGGGGATCTGACAAAGAACTGACTTAAATAAACATTGTCTTCTGTTGCCTTTAAAGTTGTTTATATTTTATAGCATCAAAGGACATAGTCCTTCTGAAGGTGCATTATGTACAAGTAAATTATTTTCTTAAACCTGACTTTCCTAATTTTTTATTTGCCAAAATGGTATGGGATATGCCAAGTCATTATGGAATTATACTTAAGAGATTCTAGTGATGATGATTATAAAATAGGATACACCTTCCTTTAAAGCTGATTTTGACGATATCAGATAATCATACTGTAACTGTGTTTTCTGCAATTGTAGATACAATATAGTATCTGATTGGACCACAGTGCTGCACATTACTTCTCACTGACATTCGCATCTGCTTCTTCTGATACTTTTTCAATAGACAATTTCACCAAATTACACAAGATAAAAGTAAAATGAGCAGTGCTATGTGAGACATAATGTAATATTTAAAATAGTATTGCAATTTGCATATATATATATATATATTTAAAACCACCTGTATTTGTAGTATTTTCAATTGCAATCTACAAAATAACCTAGGACTACTGGCATGGTAACCAGAACATTTCTACTTAACAAAAAAGATAGAGAAAGGAAGGGGCAGACTACCTTTAACAGTGTTCAAGACTGTAGTATGATACATTATGTACAGTAATGTGAAAATCGAATTCTACATGTTCAAAAAAATCAAAAACTAATAGAATGCTTCATTGATCAGGCTGGGAGACTATGTCCATCAGTCACCGATCTCAACAGATAAACTAAAAATAACAGTGAGTACGTTTTCCTTAAAAGTAATTGGTGTAGCAGGCTTTGGGATGAATTTTAAGCCTTTTAAGTATTTGGGTACTGTGTAGAATAATTTTAATGAAACACGTATTTCCTTACCAGTTCAGTTTCAATGAAACCTTGATATCTAAATAGAGACCAGTGTATAGAGAGATCTCTATATAGATATATACATATATCTGTTTTAGTCAGAATCCTTAAACACTAAAATCAATCATCCAGAGATATAAACTGATAGGAAATAATATCCATCAACCAAAACTTGTAATGCATTTCATGTTCAGATAATGACTTTAATTACAAATCCTGGAGCTAAATCTTTGCCTATTACCTGTTGCATAAAAGCAGCCTGCTCCCCAGATTCCATTTCCTGGATCTGAGCATCTTCATCACTGTCCACTGGCTCCTCCTTGACCTTCACAGCCCCAACTTGTCCCAGTGTGTCATCCACACAAGCACTGCTGTCGCTCCTAGTGCTGTTGCCACTAGAGGGCGATCTGTCTTCCTGCATCGCCTGGTCCCCCTGAAGCTCTTCCTCTGCTTCCTCAAGGTGGCTGCCTGGTTGCTTCAGTTGTTCAATAGATTTCGAAAGCAGCTAGAAGAGAGTGTTCAGGAATTCAAAATTCAATAGCTCTTGACGGTAACAAAGAAGCAAATTAGACTTTGATTTCTAATAACTCTACTTCAGTACACTCTGACTTCTACTCACTGAACATCCATTTCAGAATGAACTTGTATGCAACAAGCTTCCTCAGTATAATTAAATCTGAAGCAGCCCCGTCATTTCCACATGGTATTGCTGTGGCAGGTGGAAAACGAGGTCTGTATTTTTTTGTTGTTGTTTTGTTTTGTTTTTAATGGATTGCTCTTTACCACACTTAGAAAAGGGTGGGAAAAAAGGTAACCTTTGTCCAAGGAAACCATGAAACTTTCACAAGGACAAGTTTTACTTGAGTCAATTTTCCCAAAAGAGGAAAAGGGATAATGAAAAACTTCCTCAATTGCATTTCCCAACAAATGTAAACTGCTCTGAAAGCCAGAACCACAAATGTTGAGTCCTTATAGATCTAATTTTCCCGTATCTATACGGTCAAACTACAGTCAAATGATAAAGCAACTTCTTACATATATGTGTAAAACACAGAAATATTCTTTTTGAAATTCTGTATTTTAAAAAGATGCAGGATTTTTAAAAATTTTGACAATATTAAAACGTTTTATGGAGAGACCCAAGTGCAAATTAAGTAATAGGAAACAAGGAATTATCTTCTAATTTGAAAAGTATTATTTTAGACACCTTATTTTAAAAATTAAATCATATTTAATCTTTCATAAGCATATGAGTTAACTGCTTAATGATTAAAAAAGATAATTGCCAACATACCTAACCTAAATAACAGCAAAATACCATTGTGTAAAAACTCAATAAAAAGAGAAAAAGTCTCAAAATGATTTCATCTCACATAAGCCTTTTGTTTTATTTCACAATGGCCCTATTGACTTGTCATCTGTAGATCCTGAACTGTGTTTTCCAGAGTTTGTCAGTTTTCTGCTAAGTCAGTGCCTACATAAGCAACATGCCAATTATCCCAACAAGCAGCACACTCACAATACCACAACTAAAATCATGAATACATATTTTTCTATATAAAATTAAAGTTTATCTCCCACTCACACCTAACTAGGTTTTTAAAACTAAATATGTTTTAAAGTTTGAATACATAAGTATTCAAACTTTGGAGGGCACCTTAACCTCTTAAAGGCTTATAGATTTTCCTCTAGTCCATGAAGCCCCAAATAGCCCTGAACATGCTAATGAAGCCCATTAATTTCACTGTAGGTAGATTTATTTGAAGTTTTCATTCATTTGTTCAACAAATATTTACTGAATGCCAACTATGTTCAAGACACCATCCTAAGCATTGGGAAAATAGCCATTGCTTTGCCCTCATGGAGCTTATTATAGTTTAGTGTGTTAGAAAGGTATCAAATAGATAAATTTATTCTTATTTTCAAGGAGGATAAATGCTTTAAAGGACAAAACACAGGGTATTATAAGAGCACATACTGCTTGGCATAGGAGCAGGAATAGGGATTGATAAGGGAGTTTCACCGGGGAAGTACTAGGTTTACACTGAGACAGGAAGTGTGAAGGACGAAGAGGGGTTATCTACATGGGTGTGAAAAATGGAAGGTGGGGGTGGAAATAAGGATGGGGAGCATTTCTGGCAGAAGACAAAGTGTGTGGGAACTACTGGAAAAGGAGCTCAGTGAATCTGAGCAAATGAAAGGCTAGTGGGGTTTGAGGACCAGAGGAAAATGCTGAAAGATGATGATGGATAGAACGACACAGTTTACAATATATTTGGGTGGAGAGTAAGAATTTAGAGGAATAATCTGAGCAAATGAAAGGCTAGTGGGGTTTGAGGACCAGAGGAAAATGCTGAAAGATGATGTTGGATAGAATGACACAGTTTACAATATATTTGGGTGGAGAGTAAGAATTTAGAGGAATAAAATATAACTCAGGATAAACCATATGTAAGAACTAAATATCACCAAACCTAAGTTACATGTGATCAAACTGAGAGAACATATACAAAGGAAAGAAAGAAAATTTAAATATTAATTTCCTTTATGCTTATAATCTAACATGTATTGGTGCTGGGAAGTCAGCATAAGGAGAACATCATGATTTAAATGTCCTCAAGTACTTTTTAGGAAATCATCTGCAGGATTTTTCCCTCAATTCTGAAGACTAATCAGTTCTTCCTGTCTTAAATATATAATACTTTGCACACTGTTGAGATTCTGGAGAAAAGAGACTACACAGTAGTCCTGAAATTTGACTACACAGTTGTAGACTCCCATTTAACTGGCTGTTAGAGAAAGAACAGGCAACACCACACAAACTAAGCAATATTTTAAAGGAAAAGTCCCAGCTTGGGCTGGAACACCAGGAATAAAGACATTATGTGACACACGCCACTCATTATTCAGGAAGAGAGATCATCAGTCATTCCTGCAACCTTTACCTCCACCCCTCACATCAGACTACATGTAAGAGCACTTAGAGGATCTTGTGGGGAGGAGGGATCTATCTGAGAAAAGATTTTATTAACTAAGTAAAGGAGGCTGCAAGAGCCCCTCAGAGAAACTATACACAAGAAGATTGCTAACACTTTATCTTCGGGACAAATGCTCGCTGAAGTGTAGAAACTCTCCATCTCACTACCGTAGCATAGTTGGAAAAGTTAATGGGAGCTTGCTCATAAGAGCTGGTGGACAAAGAGGACACTTGTGAGTCAAGTGGACACCCAAGAGACGTGTTCAAAGATCCTGCCAGTAAGAGCTTCTTGGGGACAACAGAAAAAATGATATGGGATATGTGGCCATAGAGTATAAACTGAGGGCAACTGATAAAAGGTGAGCAAGACAGCACATGGCCAGTGTCCAGGAAATGCCATGTCAGAAGTCCCTGCTTACTGGGGGGGGGTGACTCTGAACCTTGGCCAGCTTCTGGATGTCTGATATTACAGGGAGTCCTCAATAACCAAGAGGAAGCTACAAACAGCACCAGCTAAGTAAAAACACTTTTCTGTTGCTGTTCTTCTCCTTCCTATTCCTGGCTCGAAATGGCCTTTTAGTGTCTTGACCCCTTAACCTCCAATGGTCTTGAACTCTGTCTCAGCTCCCAATCCAGCTAAGTAAAAACACTTTTCTGTTGCTGTTCTTCTCCTTCCTATTCCTGGCTCGAAATGACCTTTTAGTGTCTTGACCCCTTAACCTCCAATGGTCTTGAACTCTGTCTCAGCTCCCAATATCATGATCTTACCCTAGACCTCATCGTTACCAATAACCGTATACTCCCCTAATCTCAGTTTCAAACATCCTCCCTTTCTCCTGGCTCATTCTCAGAATATTCTGATCCAGCCATTCCCCAATTCTAGTCAGTCCTCCAACCTTCAGCTCTCCTGCCTTTTTCAATGTGGTTTTACTGGACACGTTAGATTTCTAACCTTGGTTAGAATCTAAATCTCTGCCAACGTCAACCAGCTTAATGAGCTAGGAAACAATGAACAAATAAATACTCATGCTGAGTATTTCTCTTTAAATTCAAGACCGTACCCTGCAATGGGCCCTCGGTGCTGCCTGGCAATCTGCTCATTTCTCTAGTTAATTCACTCTCAGTCTTTCAAACACTATTTCATACTACCTCCTCTCTCCTCAAACTTCTAACATCCCCATCGTTTCCTCACTCCCTGCTGATACCTTTGCTTCTTATTTCAAAGGAGAAATTTAGTATCCTGCTGCCACACTCTTACAATGCTGTCCCGTCCACCCTTCCTGCTGTTACGAGGAAGCAAATGTCTGCACTCCTATCTCAGTCAAGCCCTCAGCTTTTGCCCTGGATCCCAGCCACTCCTACAGTTCTCCACTTTGCCCTCCATCATGTTTCCCCTCTCTGCTAAAGTATTCTCATTTGTACACTTTCAGAAATACCATCCATCTTAAATAAAACTTCCCTTGACCTCCTGACCCCCCACCACTATTATATACCTCCCTTCATATGCAACTCCTTGAGTTATCTGTCTTCACTCTCTTCATTTCTCTTTTCCCATTTTCTTTAGAATCCATGTCAACTGGGTTTTCATCCACACCATTTGACCAAAATCTCTCTTGCTAAGGTCAATAAAGACTACATGGATGCCAAATTCAGTGGACATTTAAATAATATATTAATAGGTGTCAGTGAAGGTGAAGCATTTTAGAAAGGAAAACAAGAAAAAAATTATAACATGTTTAAAAGCAATTGATATTAGTGGCAAAGACCAGACAAACTGTCTAAGTGTTAATTTACTAGAACATAATTTCCTATCGACAGCAAGTAAGTCAAAGAAAATCTCTAATACTAACAAAACCCTGAGTTTTCATAGAATATATGTGCACATTTAACAGAAAACCTTCTGAAATCTAACCTGCTAATGTATTTCTGAGGTCACTGAAGTATCCAGAAATCACATCATTTAGTCCATGAATCAAATTTGATCAGTATTTACAACCTTACTGACATGGATACATATATATGACGCTGCACATAACAATTTTCAGTGTGCAATACAAAAGCAATGCCATTTGTTCTAGTCAGTTCCTTTGGCTTCATCTACACTTTTGAGACACTAAAGGACACACGAGGGAGAAAAGAGCCAGAATGAATAATGTTGTGATCACTTGGCAAGAAGGCCAAATGACAAAATGACCTTTTTCCAAGAAAAGAATTCCTTAATGGTTTGTAAAAGAAACGTTTCTTGACATAAAACAGTAACTTATAAGTGGAAATCATATAGATATAAGATGTTGGAGTTGAAAATTTTCTAATATCATTCTTAAAACCCTCCTTTTTTAAAGAAAGAATCTCATGCCCAGAAGCCAAGTCATCTCCCAGATTGCAAAGCATGAATTTGTGATTTTTTTTAAAGAGCAGAAACCTAGAACTTTTTATACCCTCTCACTCTCCATTCTTTTAAATGGCTATATTTTGATGAAAACTGAATTAATATACACAATTACAATCTCTCCCCTGAGCTCCAAACTTGTATTAACTTAACTTCTTTGCTTAGATCTAGAATATCTAATAGGTATGTATCACTAACGTTAAATAGCTCAAAAAATAACCTTTAACCCCATCCCACCAAATCTTTCTCATTTGAGTGAACTGCATTACCCAATTGCACAAGCCAAAAATTTAGGATCTATCCTTGTTTCTGTCTCACTTACATTCTCCATTCAATCTATTAGCAAGCCCCTAGCAATTCAACCCCCAAAGTATAGCCTTTATCTTACACATTTCTCCATTTCTACCGCTACCATGGTAGCCCTAAATACCATCATTTTCTCCTGAACTACCAAAATATCCTACCACCATTTGGGCTTTTTGGTTCTCAACAGTTTGGGCCAAATAGCCTACTGCTTGCCTTCTTGGTCCTCAACAGTTCATTCTCTTACTGTAGCTCTAATAATTCTTTTCAAAATATAATTTAGGTAACATCAGTTCTCAACTTAAAGTCCTCCCATTATGGTTATAATAAATGAAAAGCTCTTAACAGGGTCCTCAGTCTTCCTATGACCTGCCACCCCACCCCCCGGCCTCACTTAGCATCTCATCCTGTCTTGTTCATGAGCTCCAGTTACACTATCCTCTGGCTGTCCCATGACCATGAACATGCCTGTTCTCCCACAGGGCCTTCGTATATATGCTGTGCTCACCTCACTCCCTCAAATCCTTATATGCCTGACTGGCTCCTTCTTTTCAGATTTTACCTCTATTACTATCTCATTAATATATTTTCTTTATATCCCTTATTACTGTCTGGCATTATATTGCTATCTCTGTCTACAATAGTAGTTGTTTATCTCACCCAGTATAATATAAACTTCATGAGGACATGGGCTTGATGTTTTTCATCCTTTTCTGTCCCAATACCTAATACATTGCACAACACCTGGTTGGAGCTTCGCACATATTTGAAAGCTTAATTAATGCTTAGAAACAATGCTTTGACACTTTTCCTCCTATGTTATGAAACAAAGTCAATGTCTATGTGACAATTACTACCACTTTTTCATCTTCTTTGGAATAGAATGTACTCTTGGTGAAGATTCACAAAATACAAAAGAGATAAAGGGGATGTCCTGGAGCCAATTTTGCAAAATATAAATGCATAGTTATTTGACTAAAGCTGTTTTTTGTTTAAACAATCAAATGTGCCAGAGCGGAAAAGTTAGCAATTACCATCAGCAGAGAAAATCTACAAACAAAAGTCACAGAGAAATTCTGCCTGCCAGGTTTGACTTATTTCATATTCTTAAAATAAAAAATTACTTGGTGCTATTAGTAAGTTTTTGACTATTTACTAGGAAAGTAAATATTCGGATTATGTTGTTTTCTGCATGTTTTTCAATTACAAATATGACCATTACAAACATGATATGGGCCAACCCTGTTCTAATTTGTACTTCCATCGAGTGGCTCCAGATGTAGTGAGGAGATGTCTGCTTACTCTCAGTGGGGTGGCAGTGTCTCTCTTTGGTTGAACATCTGGAGGTGATCCCCCAGCAAAGTCGAGCTGTTGCCTTGCTGGCTGGAAAACAGAAGACGAAACATCTGTGTGACAGATCAATGTGCAAGCCTATGTGAATCTCTGCTGAGGCCCCATCTGTAAAACACACCGTGTGCCATTTGTATGACACCAGGTGAGTTACCCGGGTGCAGAACCCAGCTGAAATGAAGATGAGGCGGCTGCAAAGCTTCTCCTTTTTCTTTTATCCATGCTCGTCCTCATCTGTCAGTGTGTCTGGATTCTCCATGCTCCTGTGCAGCAATTGTGCCGAACACTGAGAATGCTATCAGCAGTCTATGACCATTCTTGCTTGTAACACACATACACTTATACACAGATATTCTGTAGGCCCGATAGCATGGAAATGTACCCAAATTTCTAATGCCTTCAAATATTATAACTAAACCCTTCAATTTTTATCAGTCCCTGCTAGAGTCGTAATTATAGCAAATCCATAATTAGAGTGTTTTAAATTCCATGTTAAACATCATATATTGTTGTCTAATAATGTAAAATTTATTAACTAATGTTTAGAAGCTGTCACTAATTTTTACACATTATAACATTAAGTTCATCTCTGCGTAACTTACATTGCTTGATGCAAGTCTACAAGTCAACATAAGCATATGTGCTTTTAAATAAAATGTCCCTAAATTCTATCATTTTAATTTTTCCCACAGAAATGCTTCATTTCCCCACAAATATCTTTAGATGTGAAATATCAACTAAGAACAGGACTGTATAAAGAATAAGTCCATTTCTGATAGAAATCTGATTTTCTGACACTGTCAGCAGCAAACCAGTATGTACAACAGTTTGAATGTGGTTATTGAACTATGAAAGATGACCTTCAATACAACTCATCACTTTCTTATTTTGCCTCAGATTCTACTCGAGGTATGGCAATAGCACAAGTTTTTATTTTTCTTTTAAATAAATATTCTTCCTTTGGAAAATAAAACTTTTCTCTTAACCTCCAAGGAAACTAAATTTAAAAAGAATGATAAAATTCTGTCTCAATTCACAAAAAGATTAGGTATGCACCAACTGTTCTCAAAAACAACACGCAGAGCTTGGAGGGCTTTCAATTGGAGAGGTCTACTTAGAGAAGAACTCCAGTCTCAAGCCAAAATACTCCATGTCACTTCACTTCTGTGCATTGTAGGGAAATAATAATCAGAAAAATCAAAATTAAATAACAAGAAAAGAAAGACTTTCTAAATATTGGTTTAGTACTCACATAAATTAAAAGTCTAAACTGAAAAACATCCTTTCTTACCAATATTGAAGAAGTATAAAATGAATCTTTAATCTAAGGACCAAGTGAATTTTTAATAAATACTTCTTTCTCTTTTTAACTCTAAATGATTGTCCATCAATTATGTTTCAATTAAAAAAATAAAGAACAAATGATATGATTGTCCAAAACAATGCCTGCGTTCCTCTGGCTCTCAAAACTTACTAATATTTCAATAATTTACATAAGTGTTTCCTTCTAGAAAGGAGACTAAAAAAATTTCTTTCTTTCAGCTAGTTCAAGACAGTTGCCCATCACTTTCACTCTTTCAACAATTTTTTATTCAGAGCTTACTATATGCCAGGCCCTGGGAAGAGAATGGTCAGTGAAGCAAGATCCCAGCACTGAGTGAGGGAGACAGAAAATAAGCTCCAGAAGAGTAGAACTTGATGTGATAGGGAATGAAGGGGGCAGGGGTGAGTGTTTGTGTCTACGTTACTTTGGATGGGCAACAAAGGCCCTTCTGAAGAAGTGAAGTTTGAGCTGAGGTAGACCCTGATGACAAGATTGAATAATGAGGTTGATTCATCCAGGACTGTGGCTGGCACAACTCCTGGAGATGGGATGAGATTCCCCAAGACATGAGAGGAGGCCAGCATGGCTGAAGCTCAGAGAGTAAGGGAAAGAAGTAGGAGATGAGGGCAGGGGCAGGGGCAAGAGCCAGAATATGACAGCCTTGCAGGCCACATAAAGGTGTTTGGAATTTATCCTACAAACAAGAAGAAGCACCTGGAGAGTTTTAAGCAAGACCATGACATAATCTGATTCGCATTTGTAAATGATCACTCTGGCAGCTTTAGAAGACCATAGGAGAATGTGGACACAGGAAGACTGAACTTTCAGAACACACAATCCTCAGCAGGAGAGTGTAACGAGAATTTCTAGGGGATTTTCTAAACTAGAATACAAATGAGCTGTTTTTCCTTCTCTTCCAAAACTGTGTCAATTTATGTCCTTTTATTGTACATAACAGATTGTTTTTTCCCTGATAATCTCCTTTCTGATCTTCAGTTGAGAGTATTGTTCTCTCAAAGTTTTCCTCCTTCCACTTTAAAGGTAGAAAAATAGAGGCACAATGAGGAAAGGCATCTTTGCTAATCTTTGGTGGTATCCAGTGGGTCTCAAAATAGTTAAGATCTCAAAACCAATGATCCTCTAATCATTTGACTCATAAACGTCTCCCTTTCTCCCCACTAATCCAATCCCTTGTTTTGGTAAACTGCAGAGCAGTGCAAGCCCCATCCCAAACGGGTGACCAAGAGTAAACTCAGATGATAATTATCACATGGAAATGTGGGCTCAGTGTTGTCAGACTTTTCAATTTTTCAGAGAATGCAAGAAATCCAGATTTTTACTTGAAATCTTTCTATTTTTAAAGATTCACCAATAACTCAAATGCTTTTTAACATACCAGTTAGACCAAAGACAGCAGTCCCATGGAATGGGTCCTGTCCATAGACTGCCTGCTTATAATCTCTGAAAATATCCCTTGTGTCCCTTCTTGCTTGAACATTTTATGGTTTAGACCACTAAGGGCTGATGTTTGCATGCTCTTAAAAGGCACCGTCCCCCATTCTTGTGATTTGTTTTATGTTCCTTCCTTGGTCAAAAATTCAACCACCTTGCCAGGGGCTGGGGATAGGGGTAGAAATTGACTACAAAGTGGCAGGAATTTTGGAAGCTGGGGGAACTGATCTATGTCTTGGTTGTAGTAATCGCATGACAATAGGTATTTATCAAAACTCATTGAATAGTAGAGCAAAAGGAATAAATTTTACTTTGTGTAAATTATACTTCAATAAAACATGCAATCATTAACTATAATACTTTCCAAAGAGAAAATAAGGTCTGCTTCACAATGAATACAGAGACACATGAGAGCTGGAACAAAATTTGATGGTTTGGTTTCTGACAAAGTACCTTGATGCAATATTGACACAAGTGGGAAATGTGTTTTTTTTGAAATATTCCAGCACTTCCAGACAACCATATTTATTGACAGAATACGGAAAATAGAACTATAATGCTATATAAGAATATATATACTGTTTTAGATTTCAGTAGCACTTACCATGTTTACAAAGCACTTTCAGATCCATCCTCTATTGTAATGCTTACTATAAACCTCTAAACTTTGTGAATTAGAGAGTTATTGGACAAAAAGTTTGAATACCTTTATTAAAGTTTCAAAACAAATAACTGTGCAAGACCTCAAAAATTTCTCCTGGAAAGGCTATCAAGAAATCTAGACTTTGCAATTGATATGGGCTATGCATTATGTTGAACCATCTTTGATTATAATTACCTGTTTGCAGGTCTATGAGCCACTCAAAGGAAAAAACATGCCAGCTTTATTTTCATTTCTAGTATGCAGTATGGTGGTTGTTAATAGATAATCTCTGTGAAATATCATTGATTATCCCATGCCAATAAATTTCTTTGTAGAAGTGTTTTCACTGCTGGTCGATTCAACCAAGGTAATAACAAGAGAGTAGCAGTAAATTTAGGAGATGGGAGAACAGCTCTGGATGCAGTTCTGTCTGAAGTAAGAGGAATTCTCTAGGCCAGATGGCATTTCGGGGTCATTATAATTCCTCAGATTTTGTAAGTGTTTAGAGAAAGAGCCAAAAGGTACAGGAAAAAAGGAACTACAATCAGGAACTTACAAACTACCAAAATCCATAGCAAAGAGACTGCTATACATTGGTGATTTTTATGTCCACAAATCACTTAGCTATATTAAAAATTCCTTAGCAAGGCTTAATTATTTCATCCTGTCAAATAAAACTATTTGTCAAGGTTGGGAAACAACCAAATTATTTAGCTTCCCTCTCCCTTTGAAGTGCCTGGAAACAACATCAGTCAAACTACTCACATGGTTTAATTCCCCAGATATTCTTCTTTCTCCTATTTTCTTACCTCATAGTCATGTCCAACTATTGTTTTTCTCATTCAGTAAAAGCGCCTCTGACTAGATTAACAGTGCAGAGTGAAAAGGAAAGGTCAAGGTCCCTTCCCTTAGTCTTCAAGTTATGAAAGCAGCACTGGGAATGTTTATGAATGCTACACATTAATCCCCTGAAATGGTCATTTAGTTTCTTTTCCAAACACAGGATTTCATCACATCTAATAATAAAACAACAAGCCATTTTCTGTATATTATAAACCATCAGCTTGTAATTATATAGTGAAAAACTTCTATATGAATTCTCTGTGATGATGTAAGCTAGTACTGTAGCATAAGTGAATTTTGTGAAGCCCACTACATGCCTACAAGGATCTATTTACATTGGGCTAATCATGTCGAAACAGCATCTATTTAAGGGTAAAGTCAAAGATGCTTTTATAAACCTCTACAGATAGATAAATAATCTACGAGGCTTTTTACTGTTATAAAATTAAGAGTGCCTTTCATTGCTAGCTAAAGTTTTTGGACATACTATCCATCTAATGGGCAAAATGTAATCTTAAATTGGTGATTAAAAGACTCTGCATGGAAACAAACTGTCAAATGGATGGAGAGAAATTAACCCTGACAACAGTAATGCCTCCTTTCCTAAATGAAAGCCCAGTTCATGTTTCTACTCATCCATTTTTCAAAACTTAAAACAAGGCATTTTCCCACCACCCATAGAAGAGACGCCAACATTCACATTTCAGTTGAACCTGATGAAGTAAGTAGAAGCCCAGCTTCAGGCTTGCTAAGAACTCCTGTGAGAAGGTT